GGCCATTGAAGGAGCAAGCAAACCGGCAAATGGAAGATTCTCTCTCTCTGCTCTTTCAAATCAATCATTCTTTTTTTAAAAAAGGTAGGAAGCCAGGGGTCCACGTGGCTGTTTTCCGTTTTCTCTCGCACGGATGTGTGGGTGCCCAGCTGTCCAGGAGAGGGCAGGGGTGGCAGTCCTCAGCTCCCTCTTATACATGCATTCATCACCCCAAACCCCGAAGGTGGCTGAGAGCCCCCACCCCCACCCCAGCCTCCAGCACAGACCCTCCTCCAGCCGGGGGTGCACGTCCACTCTGTCGCTGTCCCTATTCCCCCAGGTGCCGTCTGCCCAGCTGACTCTCAGCTGTGGATTCCACTTGGGCTCATGTGCTAAGGGGACTTAAACCTTTCTCAGTCTTCCGTTGTGTGTTACCTGTGTTTGTCCTTGGTGGTTTCTGTCTTAGATCTTTGTCCCCCACGTTAGCCCCTCACTTGCCAGTCACTTCCAGCAAGTCTCAGTGTCTTTACAGTAATTCACTTATTTTCACTGTACCAACTGTGACTTTTTCCCCATTAGTAATTTTGGGATATCTTCCTCCCCAGAGATTGGATAAACATTCAGCCCTGTTTTCTTTCATTTGATTCTTTAAAGATACTTGACTCTTAAAAAAATGTCAAGCTGGTTGTTTTTTGTTTTTGTTTTTTTTTTTTTTAAGATTTATTTATTTGAAAGTCAGAGTTACACAGAGAAAGGAGAGGCAGATTCGGTTTTTAAATAGTCCTTTAAATTCCTGTCTGTTCACACACATACCTAGTACAGTGTGTCTGCCAGTGTCCCTGGTGTGGGGCACCCCTGGGCCTGTGTGCCCCCAGCCTACCCCCATCCCTGTATGTGGGGTGGAGGGACCCCGGGCAGGTACGTCCCCAGCCTGCTCTATGTCCCTGTCTGTGGGGTGGGAGGACCCCTGGCAGGTGTGCCCTCAGCCTGCCCCCCGTCCATCTGTGGGGTGGGGGCACCCCGGGCAGGTGCATCCCCGGCCTATCCCCATTCCTGTCTGTTGGTGGGGGGATCCCCAGCAGGTGCGCCCCAACCTGCTCCCTTTCCCTGTCTGTGGGTTGGTGGGATGCCAGGCAGTTACACCCCTAGCCTGCTCCCCATCCCTGTCTGTGGAGTGGAGGGACCCCGGACAGTTACACCTCTGGCCTGCTCCCCATCCCTGTCTGTGGAGTGTGGGTACTCCGGGCAGGCACGCCCCCAGCCTGCTCCCCATCCCTGTCTGTGGGGTGGGGTACCCCGGGCAGGTACACCCCTGGCCTGCTCCCCGTCCCTGTCTGTGGGGTGGGGGGACTTTGGGCAGGTGTGCCCCCGGCCTGCCCCCCGCCCCTGTCTGTGGAGTGTGGGTACTCCGGGTAGGTACGCCCCCGGCCTACTCCCCGTCCCTGTCTGTGGGGTGGGGGACCCTGGGCAGGTGCGCCCCCGGCCTGCTCCCCGTCCCTGTCTGTGAGGTGGGGGACCCCGGGCAGGTGCGCCCCCGGCCTGCTCCCCGTCCCTGTCTGTGAGGTGGGGGACCCCGGGCAGGTGCGCCCCCGGCCTGCTCCCCATCCCTGTCTGAGGTGGGGGACCCCGGGCAGGTGCGCCCCCGGCCTGCTCCCCGTCCCTGTCTGTGGGGTGGGGGACCCCGGGCAGGTGCGCCCCCGGCCTGCTCCCTGTCCCTGTCTGTGGGGTGGGGGACCCCGGGCAGGTACGCCCCCGGCCTGCTCCCTGTCCCTGTGAGGTGGGGGACCCTGGGCAGGTGCGCCCCCGGCCTGCTCCCCATCCCTGTCGCTGGCCCCCACAGATCCCGGAGCTGAAGCAGGACATCAGTATCCCCGACTACTGCTGCCTGGGCGATGGGGAGGAAGATGAGATCACCATCAACGCCTGGTTCGGGCCCCGGGGCACCATCTCCCCGCTGCACCAGGATCCCCAGCAGAACTTCCTCGTCCAGGTGGGGGCCGACCCCACTCCCGTGGGATCTGGCTGTCTTGCCCACAGGCTCCTCACAAGACAGGGAGGTAGACAGCAAACATGGTGGGGCCTGTACAGGCAGGCTGCCCCATGCCATTACCCCTGCACCGGTGGCACCTGCCAGGCCCCGGGGAATGTGACTGGGAGTGCGTGCAGGAAAGGCGCACACTGGGGCTCTGAGCATGGGGGGGGGGTGGGGGGGAGGCCCCCACGGCTGACACGCCGCTGTGCTGCAGGTGCTGGGGAGGAAGTACCTCCGGCTGTACTCGCCGCAGCACTCCGACGCCCTGTACCCTCACGAGACGCCCCTCCTCCACAACACAAGCCAGGTGGGCCCGCGGGGACCGGGGTGCTGCTGCTGGGTCCCCTGTCCTGGCCCCGGCCCCCAGTCAGCGACGTCGTGTGCCTCCTCCAGGTGGACGTGGAGACCCCAGACCTGGAGAGGTCCCCAGGTTCGCGAGGCCCCCTCGCTGGGCTGCATCCTGTCGCCTGGCGAGATGCTCTTCATCCCCGCCACGCACTGGCACTACGTGCGGGCGCTCGACCTGAGCTTCTCCGTCAGCTTCTGGTGGGCGTAGCCGGCAGGGCAGCTGCCGGGGTCTGCGGCACCCACAGGCTGCCCTGGGAGCATGGAGCCACCCCGGGCAAGATGGGCATGGCCAAGGAAGGCCGGGAGAACCCAGGGCACTCCAGGCATCCGAGAGCCTCCGACGTGTGGGGTGGGCCAGGTGGCGGGGGTGTGCAGGGGGAGGCGAGGACGAGGACTCAGCCTGGCGGCCCCACCACCATGCCGTCTCCCTCTGCAGCCAGCGGGCCCCGGGGAGGGTCCTTCCTGGCCTGGTCCGGGGCACGGTGCCCCGCTGACTGACAGGAGAGCTTCTGTGAGCCTCGCTGCCACAGGGCCAGCTGCCCGTGGAGGGCACAGGTTCCGCGGAAAGGGCCAGAGCCGCTCTGCACGTGGACACCGCCCCTCCTGCCCCCTCCCCCAGAGACCCCACCTTCAGGCTTTCTGTGGACTTTGTTTCACCATTAAAAGGTCCCCTCTGGGAGAAGCACAAATGGGCGGCCGTTCCTAGGGGTTGTCTGGGCGGTGACAGCATTCACCACGCGTGACGGCCACGAGGGAGAGGAATTCATCCCAGGCCAAGTCCCAAAGAAACAGGGAGTAGGTGTCTGCCACGGTTAAGCCACCGCTTCAGACTCCTGCAGCCCTATCGGAGCGCCCGGGTTCAAGCCCCAGCTCCACTTCCAGTCCCAGCTCCCTGCCGACACACACCCTGGGAGGCAGCGGTGACGGCTCCCGTAGTCAGGTCCCTGCCCCGCAGTGGGAGCCCGGATTGAGTTCTGGCTCCTGGGTGTTTGGGGAGTGAGCCAGTGGATGGTTCATCCCCAACCCCATGTGCAATAAGGTAAATTCTAAATGTACTTTAAAATAAAATATAGAGGAAGCTTAACAAAGCTAAGAGTCGCAACTCACTAGTGCTGCAAGATGAACTGAAACAGATCCCTACTGGGTTCACAGTCTGCTTCAGGCTGGGGGTGGGAGTGTAGTTCAGCTACCAGAAACCAGAACCCGGGCGAGCCCCTCACACGCCTGCTGGGAACCCACCCTAAGGAAACGCTGGATGGCCCGGGCGGCAGGGACAGGGACAGCAAAGCCGGGACATCCTAACCGCTCCGTGCCAAACAGCCCTTTAGAGCAGTGCACGTTTCTGTCCTGAGAAGCCGCCACGTCACACCGAGCGACACGCAGTTCCTAATGTGCACAGTGAGCACGTACATGTGCACGGCCCACGGTGCTCCAGCTGCGGGTGCTTCTAGGCCAGCAGTAAGGGTGGACGGGGCCGGTGCCGTGGCCTGTCAGGCAGCCGGCATCCTATATGGGCGCCAATTTGAGCCCCAAGTGCTCCACTTCCAATCCAATCCCTGCCAATGTGCCTGAGAAAGCAGCAGAGGACGTGGGCCCCTGCACCCATGTGGGAGACCCGGGTGAGGCGACCAGTCGCAGCCATTCTAGCCATTTAGGGAGTGAGCCAGCAGACGGAAGACCTGTCTCTCACTCTTAACTCGGCTTCTCAAATAAATAAACCTTTTTAAAAGGACTATAGATGTTTGGTTTCATCTATCATTTGAAATTTTGCCACGAGTGTCAGTAGCTGTGGCGGAGCAGGTTAAGCCACCACGCAGTGCCAGCATCCCATGAGCGCCACTCACACCGGAGATCCGGATAAAGCTCCTGGCTTCGACCTGGCCCAGCCCTGCTGTTGTGGGGTGAGAAGCAGATGAAAGAAATGCTGCACGGCTGAACAGTGGGGCAGGGAGAGGCAGGGGCACAAGCAGGGGCCGTCCTGGGGGTTGCATGGAGCCTCCTGGAGTAGAGACCAAACCACGGTGCAGCTGGAGCCATCCAGCGGGTGTGGACCATGGCCTGCATGCTGGGAGACCAAGGTCACGCAGGGCAGGGTGTGGTGCAGTAGTCACCACCTAGGATGCCCGTATCCTACAACCAGGGCTGGGTTTAAGTCCTGGCTCCATCCGCTTCTGAGCCAGCTTCCTGCTCGTGCACATCCTGGGAACAGTGGACGATGGCTTCAAGACCCACATGGGGGACCCAGATAGAGTTCTGGGCTCCTGGCTTTGGTCTGGCCCAGCCCTGGCTGTTGTAGACATCTGGGGAGAGAGCCAGCCAATGGAAGATCTCTGTCTCTGCCTTTCAAATAACACGAAAGGCCGAGTGAGATGGTGCTGCTTCCAGCCCGGGGCAGCAGCCAGGGGGTTGGGCCCTTTGGCAGGTGGCTGGGCAGGACTTGGCGACAGTGGACACAGGAGGGCCAGCACGAGGCAGCATCTGGGCTGACTCCCAGGCTCCCAGCTGGGGCGGTTGCAGGGGTGGGGCTGCCATGCACCAAGAGGGGCACAGGGGCCAGAGGGGGCAGGAGTGGGGAGGCCAGCATCACCCTGGGGTCCAAACTGCGGGGAACAGGGGAGAACAAGGCTGTGACTCGCAGGTCCAGCCTGGAGCTGGCCGAGTCCTGATGGGATGACCGAGTACAGCTGGGACTGCAGGCAATGCCCCCCTTCCCGGAGCAAGGACAGTGAGCTGTTGGGCGGGAGTGGCTTGGGCCCCGTACCCCCTCGTGCAGGAGCAGTGCCCCAGCTGCACCCCCTGGGCGCACACCAAGGGCTTCTGGGTAAGCACCTCCAGGACAGGGAAGGCTGTGGCCACCTCCCTGCTCCAGAGCCCAGGCTGAGGTGGCGGCAGCAGCGCCTTACACAGTTTTATTCCAAACCTGCTCAGAGTGGACACAGAGAACAAGGAAAGTGGTTTGTGTGAAACAGGAAACACGGACGCCTCTTCCCAAAAGGGCTGTGGCGGCCAGGCCTTGGGGGCGGCGAGCCTGCGGCTAATGCTGTCGGGACCGGGAGGACTTCTTGGTGGGTTTGGAGACGCCGGCCTCCCTCTCCTTCTCAGGGTCAAAGACGTCTGCGTGCAGAACAGGTCGGGAAGAGCTGGTGAGCGGCAAGGCTGGCTGCAACAGCCACTCCCCACACCCAGGGCCCTGGGCCACGTCCGCCTAGAGCCTTCCAGGCTGGGGCCAGTCGGCCTCCACCTACTGCAGTGAGCACCACAGCCCATGGGACTCGGGACACCAGGCAGGCGTGCATGTGCACAGAGCCCTTCTCGGTGCCCGTCCCCACGGGCTCTCCCACATCCGGCAGGGGTACGCACATCGGGGCCCACAAACCTGGGACCTCGTGGGGCCAGTAGTCATTACAGTGGGGGCAGCGCGGCTCCGGGTTCGACTGGAAATACTTGGCCACACACGGCAGGTGCATCCGGATGCCACAGGTTTCGCAGTTCTGACCCTGAAATGGAAGGCCAGTGACGGTGGAGCCAGCACACACCTCCGGGTTCCCCAAACCTTCAGGGAAGCTGCAAGGGAGACGGCCAGCAGCAGCTGTAGCGTTCCGTCTCCCAGGCCCCGAGCTAACGCTGACAATATGCCCCAAGTCCCTGGCGCAGTGGGTTTGCCTCAGATCTTGTGTGTGGGGGTGGGCAGGCCCAGGCGGCCACAGCTCCGCACAAGGCCATTTACAACATGGGCCAGAGCTTTAAAAAAAAGCACGGGCACTCCTGGTCCCTGGAATTCCTCTCTGGGAATGACCTAAGGGAACGGTCCCCAGGGGTCTGAGGCCAGCACAGCGGCGGCCATCCGTCAGCTGAGTTGCGGCGCAGTGGGAGGAGGAGCCCGGGGAGCCCCGCCCGCCTCGGTACCTGGATGAGGAGGCCGTGGCAGATGTTGCAGCTCTTCACAGAGTCAGGGAACGTCTCCCGGATGTACTGCTCCATCTCCAGGATGGCCCGGCTGTGTAGCGTGAACTCCCCCTCCTTCTGCAGGGACAGCATGCGAGGGGCCAGCCTCAGCCAGGCTCTGCCCACGCAGGCCAGCTGCTCCCTCTGCCATCCCCAGCCCAAGTCCCAGAGGACACACAGGTCTGTGCGCCCTGCCACGGCAGGTTCTCCCAACCGCAGCCCACTGGCCTAGGGCACGTCCTCGGCACCCTGTGGGCCACCCCAGATGCCATCCCTCCACCAGCACGGCAGCCCCACGGCACCAGCTCAGCCTCCCAGTCGGGGGCAACACTTGGGCCAGCACAGGGAGGCAGTCTCCCCACGGAGGGGGGGACCAAGACAAGTGTCCCACTCCCAAAAGGCAGACAGTCAGTGGCTCCGGGCAGCAGTGCCGGGAGCCTCTGTAAGGACCCTGGAGGCCACTTCCCAGAGGGAGCTGCAGGGAGTCCAGCGAGGGCGGGTCAGGCCCAGTCAGTGCGGGTGGTGGAGACTCCAGCGGAAGCTGGGCCTCCCGACTCCCACATCCGACCACAGCCCACAGGCCCCACGGCCTCCAAACCCCAGGCAAGCCAGGTGGCGCCTGATAAGCGGTATGGCCGCTGTGGCCACATGGGGAATGCGTGGAGAGCTGGGCGGGGTTAGGGAAGTGCGCAGGCTCGTTCTACGTCATCACACTCCACTGCTGAGCTGTTGCTGTCACCCTGCCGTGGGGCAGGGCAGGGGCCTGGAGTGGACAGGGGGGCTCCAGCTTGCCAGGTGACCACACGCCCTGAGCACTCACTCCCTTAGTGGTCAGAGCTTCACACACACACGCACTCCCTGCCTCCATCCCCACCTCTGGGGAAGCGGTGCTTGTGTAACCCAGGCTTAGGGCCAAGGTGAAGGCCAGGGCAGAGTCTTCATCCTGCCCAGCCAATGAGGAGGCTGGGTGGCCACCACAGAGAGAGAGAGAGACCCTGGCTACTGGGTGTGGAGCTGGGGGCCTGGACCGCTGAGCGCAGGCAGGGAGCAGCCTCAGTGGAGTTCAGAGGTGGAGGGAGGCCAGGGACTGGGGCACCGGGGTCTGGCACTAGGGCTGTCGCTCAGTGGCTGGGGCTGTGGGCCCTGTCAGGTGCTGTGGGCGTAGATGCAGTGGCCGGCAGCTCTCAGGGCGTCCTCAATCCTGTGGCCATTACCTCTCTAACGCTCCACCTGCACAGCCCCATTCACTGCCCCCCCCCCCCCCGCCACGCCTCTCTGCTCTGAGCCAGCTCCGTCCTCTCAGCCCAGCATTTACCGAGGCTGTCAGGCACCCACGCTGCAGTAGGGAGTGGTGACGAAGTCGCACCCCCGCCTTAAAAACCTGGCCGGAAGAGAGGCCTGCCACAACCCCAGCCACCCAAGAAACCCCCCGGGGCCACTCCCACCCTGACAGGAAGAAAGGATTGTGACAAAGCCCTGCAGGGGAGCTGCCCTCGGCTCGGCCCCTGCACACGCCGCTGCAGCCGGAGCCCTGAGCTGCGTCTGCCCAGCTGAAGACCAGGGTCAGCTGAGGGGCTCAGCGACACATGGACATGGATCCCGCAGATCCGGGCACTCCCAGGAGCCCCGAGGCCCGCCCTTTTCCCCCAGCAGGACACATGCTGGCGGTGGGCACCCCCACTTGGAAATCCATCCTCCGAACACCAACTACAGCGACCCAGAGGCAAGCTCCCCCGAGGGGGAAGTGGGGAATCACTTCTGGCCCAGCAGCAGCCTCTGGCCGCAGGTCTGACTGCCCAAGGGAGGGAGCAGAGGGCTGGCATGGGTACGCCCTGCACAGCCAGGCTCTCTCGGGGCAGAGCTAGGCCTGGATTTGCCGGAAGCAGCTCTGCCCTGCTGCCGTCGGGAGGCGACACGCGGTCTGACCTCTCCAGAGCCCTGCTGCCCAGCCCAGCCTGTCCACTAGGCCACGCTGCTTCCCCGGGGCGGGGCCATGGCAAGTGAAGGCCCTGACCGGCGTCATGCTGTCCACCGCAACGATAGCACTTCGTCCGCCGGCGCCCAGCACCTCGCCACCCTGCCTCACCCCTGTTCTGTGTATCCCCAGGAGGTGGATCCCATCACTCCCTAGTCTAGACAAGGGAGGTGGGGTCTCGGGGACAGATGGGGTGAGTGATGGGGGGCACGGGAGCAGCCAAGAGACCCAGGAGGGGCACTGGTGGGGTTCGGGAGGGAAAACTCTCACTGGTTCTGGAAAGTGAGGCCGCCAGGGAGGCAACGGGCCGCGCACCTCGATCAGCCATTTGTTCTGCACAAACTTCTGCAGCACCTGCTCAGCTTCCTTCTTCCTCATCTTCTTGCCCTTCAGCTGATCGACCAGGTTCAGGATGTTTGTGGAAGACGCAAAGCCCGTCTCGGAGTCAATGATGAGCTCCAGCTGCGAGACAGAGACCACAGGCACCGACCGTCAAACCAGCGCCAGCAACTCGGCGGCGGCAACCCTGGTCCCCAGCAGGGACACGGCCAAGCCACCGCCATCACAGGCACCAGTGGCCACTGGGGTGGTCCCTCAGGCACCAGGAGCCTTAACCACGCCCGCCTCGCCACTCAGCGGCCACTCCCGCGCCGTCCCAGGTGAAACACACCAGTGCCCCAGGCTGCCGACGGGGCTGCCTCTCCTCCCTCCCCCTGAAGGACAGAAGCTGAGACCCGCGCGAGTGCATAATGGAGGCACTCCTCTCCCACAGGTGGGCGCGCAGGAAAGGTGCCATCGTGGCCCTGGGGCCAGCGCCCTGCACATGTGCCCAGCAGCACGGGGGCCGCCTGGAAGCCTCACGTCACTCGACTCCTGGGCTGGCTCTCAACCCT